TTCACCTCTATCACACCCAATCCACAAATCAGCACACACACATTTTTATCTCTCCCCCTCACCAGGTGTATGCACCTCCATTTCTTTAGCACCAACCCTTATTTCCATTGTATAGTCATTACATTGCATCATTTTCCCCAATTTATTCTCTTCATTTATTCTTATGGTTACATTCCGTCTTGCTATATTCTATCAAAGTGTATGTTCAGCATTTTAACATTGCATTTTATCATGTGTTAGAATATACATTTCTCATCAATTTTCATTACATTTATGGCTTTCCTTCTCCATTCAATATACAGTTAATTTCCAATCTGTAAAACATGGCATTCCCAGTCTGAGAACTCCCTTAGTCTGTGTGTCATCCCCATTCCATCTATACACCCATCAGTCACATTCCTCTTTCACCCACAGCATCCTCACATCCTTGTCTACACATCCCTCTCACTTTCACTTCATTTTCCTCGCCAATAAATATCCTGCTTCTATTAGATTCTATTGTGCTAGCCTTGAGTTTATTTACAGCTGTCAGCTACTACTATCTTGCTCCAGAAATCTTCCTGTTTGCCCTTAGTTTTACACTTATCTGATCCACTTCCCCAGTAGCTAGTCTTCTGCTCGTATCAGACTCCCTGTCAGCTCCTTGTAAATTCACAAATTTCCATAAATTCCAAACAACCATAATCCCTTTCTATTCCACACGTACGTTATCCCTGCCTATTCACAGTCATCCAATACTGTAATCAACCCACATTTCATTCATGATCACACGCTATATTTCTCCTTCAGCCACTCTCCTCTGAACAGCACAGCTCCCCAATGTCCTTCAATACAGTCTGGAACTTTTTCCCCATGTTTAGGCATGATCTATCTGCAGTGTGGGTTGCTGCTGACAAACACTGCGCTCCTAACCTAGCCAAATTCAAGTAATGATTTTTCATGTTCATTGATCGTTTTTTAATTTAATGCACCACTTCCCTACACATTTATCTATTTTTCCTCTCATCTAGAGTGACCACATATACCTCACTTAGTGTAGTTCATACCAGTCTGTTTTTCTACTTCACCTCTCACTGGAGAGCGTAGCACAGCGTTTCTAACATTTTGTTTACTACATGTAATTTTAAAGTACTTTTTATTTAATCTTTACTTTTTTTTTGTTTATTTCCAAGAGGTTGTTTCAGATTATTGACAAGTTTATTCCGCTTTGTTTAGATCTATCCTCACAGTAGGACATTGACACCTTTAATGTTCTTGTCATTACCATTATTATTCATATCTATGGTTAGATATGATTATGGTCAAGATGTCAGTATTTTTCGGTTTGCTTAATTTATATGAACCCAAAGCATATTTTACCATTTGTGATCACATGAGTATTTCAAAAACTGATCTACTGGGATTTTCTTGCCCATTCCGATGCTCTGAGTTCTAGCCAGTGTAAGCAGTATGTAGGGCAGCATCTAGGGGTCAGTAAACGTTAGTAGTAAGAGCAGTATACTGGCAAAAGTAGGGCACGGCGAGCAGTGCAATGTACAGGGGGCTCAGAAGTAGTTTCCTCATGAACAGCAGCACAGGGAAGCTGCCGCAGAAGACCTACCAGTTATAATGCAGATTCCAGCCAGCCCTCCTCTCTTGTCCATACCACATGTTGCCATCCACAACTACCTTGGATTGACTGAAGAGGTGGGTCAAAGAGGATCAGCACAGTACACTCCAGGGATGAGCTCAAGAGCCCGAACCTGCCCAAGCTATCCCACCTAAAAGTTATCAAGGGTGGCAAATGTATGCAAAGGGAATGCTGTGGGGGGGAAATCAGCTTTGACAACTTCTTGGCAGCTCACTGCTTTCCTGATCAGCTCTGCCAGTTGAGGGTAGTCAAAGCAGGGACGAGATAGCGATCTACCAGTCACTCTCAGGTGATTGAACTCTGGCAAGCTTTTGAGGACAGACCCCCTGGGCATCCCCCTATAACCCTAACCAATTCTATGAGTCTTAAGTTTTGTTGCAAGCAATACAAAGTAACCCAGGAATAGAAAATGTGCTATGTCCTGTAATGTACACCACAATATGGAGTTTACAGGCAAGTAAAATTTCCATTTATCTGAATTGCTCAATACAGCACATAGGCTGAATATTCACAGACCCTGGGAAATCCCTAAGCAATGAGGAAGAAGGGTGGGCAACAACTAGGCAAACCAAACTGTGCCAAAAGGGCCAAACAATAATGATGGTTAACATAACCAACTTCAAAGTGCCACTTCAAGAACTTTGTGACCCAAAGCTAAATCCGCAGAAGACTGGACGTCCAACTGGTAGCATTTTGAAAAGGTATGAACAGAGGACCAGGTGGTAGCCTTACAAAGCTGGGCAACATAGGCTTGATGTGGGCATGCCCAAGAAACACCTACCAACTTGGTGGAGTAAGCGCATGAACATGGAGGAGTTTAGTTCTTTAGCGTGTAAGCTCTGGCAATGTGTTGTCTGATCTATCTAGCAATGGTGGACTTGGAAGCACAATGTCCCTTGCAAGGTCCTAACGGCAGGGCAAATAGGGAGTCAATGTCCTGATAGAAGCTGTTGCTTTGAGGTAGACTGTGATCACTTCATGTCCAGGCAGTGAATTGCAATTTCCTTTGGGTGCTTTGAAACAGGGCACAAAGATGAATGGACTATGTCTTCACTGAGCTGGGAGACTGAAACAACCTTAGGAAGAAATATGGTATTGGGCATAAGACTGCCTTGTCTTTGTGAAGAATGAGGAATAGATCCTTACAGGAAAGAACCACTAGCTCTGAGACATGTCTGATAGATGTGAGAACAACCATGAAGGCTGGTTTTGCACAGCACAGAGAAACATATTGAGGCCCTAAAGAAGCACAGGGTGCTCTGGGGAGGCCTGAACAAAGATACAACTTGCATAAAGGTTTGACAAGAGAAAGCAATGGTAGAGGCTTTTGGAAAAGAATGCAGAAGGTTCAAACATTTCAGAGTGACAAGTCCTGATTGTCGAAACCCAGAATGCGAGGCACAGAGTAATCTATGGCATTTTAATGCTTGTATTCACACCAGGCAAAAAAGGATTTCCAGGTAAAACGGTAGATCGTTCTGGTAGTGGAAAGTGGGAATGACAGACTCAGCGACCCCACTGTCCCTTAAGACCTGGGCTTCAACAGCCATGTGACTGAGAAGCAGGATGGAATAAAGGGCCCTGAAACAAAGAGTCTGGACTGTTGGGAAGAGGCCACGTTTAATCTCTTAGTAGTTGGTCTGTCTGTGTACCAGGTTCTTCTAGGCCAGTAGCAGAGGATCCTTGGTCCTGGCCACAAACAGAGGTAACTGTGGAAGTGGATTTCCTGGCCTCCAGATTCAACAACAGAGTCCCCCATCTGACATACCAGATGCTGGGGTGATGGGCCAATTCTCCTTGGTCCAGATGGCGAAGACTGGGGTAATCTGCCTGTTAGTTGTCCACTCCTGGGATGTGGACAGGAAAGATCACTGGGCAGTGTTTCTCTATCCATGAGATGATCTGGCTTGCTACACCCTCAAAGCCTCATGGCTCCTTCAGCCCCTTAGGTGATTAATGTAAACAGTTGTGGCACGGTCTTATTTTGCTTGTGCTGTGTCCAGAATGACACACAAATATCTCAGATGATGCAGATTTTTGGAAGTTGATCACTGATCAGAAAAACTGAAGCATTTGGACTGTGCCATGGACATTTGCAGACAGCTGGATGGGAGGGGAATCCTGTTTTTGTACCATGCCAAGGTTGGAAAGTAAAACATGTCCTCTAGGGGTCCTGGCGAAACCTCTCTCTGGAAAAAGAGATGGTTAAGGGCATTTTGCAAATCTGTCTGTCCTTGAGCAGACTGTGGCTGATTCCAGAGAAGAAAGTGGTGAAGCAGTAGAGTTTTGAGTCTATTGTTCACCCCTAGGAAACCACCAATTGAACCCACAGGTTTGAGACGTCTGTGATGTCCTCCTTTAAGGGCATACGTGTGAGGTGTCTTTTGCAGATAGCTTCAGCTGACCAGGCTTTGAGCCACTAGATTCTGCACATGTGAATCGAAATGAGAGCCATTCTGGATATTTGTGTAATAACGTGTTCTAGGGCATCCACAGATAAGGGCAGAGCAGAAGGTAATTTCTGTAAGTACATAGATAAAGGTATTCTTGCAAGTTCTGTCTGCCAAACCGCAGATAACTAGACTAGGGCAATGAACAAGCAACACAATCCTTTAATTTTTTTAAACCCGAGCCTTTCATATCACTTTAAAAATGCATTAACATTACCATTCTGTAATTAAAGTGTATGTTACCCCAACATTTCATATTCCTCATATGTGTCTGTTGTACCATGTACTTGTGTTAAAAAGTATCATGCTCTCTTTGTATTTCTTAGTGTGAAATACCTGGTGGTCCTGCCAGTCCCCCTACTTTCCTATTTCAAACTGACCACACTAGGCATGACAGCACATCCATGTATCCCATCCATACGAACATAAAGAGTTTTTCCTTTCATTTCTATTTAAGTTGGATGGGTTGTTTTACAAGGTAAGGGTCAACATACTTTAAACTAAATTTGCTAGGGATTATGGATACATAATGACATACCTAAGTGAAACAGCTAACTGCACTGTTTAAAAATAATTCATGGGATTCAAGTGACTTCTAAAATAAGCTACATATCTCTGCCTTGTACTTTGAGTGCTATCATTAAAGGCCTATGCCCATGTAAAAAATACTTTGGTTACATTTTCCCAAGTGCAGTTTTAATGCAAACCAGACCTGGGAACAATAAAGCATGGAAAGTATTCACTGAAGAAACCAATCACAAACTGCTGAAAGATGAGATCTCTTGTTATAAGTTCATATAATATTCTGTAAAAAGTTTAGATGATCTTTGTTACAGATTAAGACATGTCCATCCATCTGGGTTCCATCCAACCAATTGTGGGCAGCAGAACACACATTACTATATAATACCAGCACTTACCTCCTTCCGAAGTCTTTCCAGTTCTTTGTCTTTTTCAGTGGCCAAGGCACTGGTACTGGAGAGAGACTTCTGTAGAGAGGACTTCTCTTCATCAAACTCTTTCTTTATAATAGATTCTCTGCACAAAGTAAAGTAAAAAAACCAAACAAGAAAGAAGTAACTAGAGAACATATTAAAGATTTGTTTGTACTAAACTCTAAATGAATCCATAAGGATTGCAAGTAATAATCCAATTGAATAAAGTAAAAATTCTGAGATCTGCAACCAGGTATTTTGTGTGGGGGGAAGCAGTGGTATAAATCGATCTCTGTCCTGTGCCTTTTGGCCCATATAAATCTCTTCTGGATAAATGTCTTCCTGATCTGTGTGCCAGACAGAAGATTTCCTGTGGAAGTCTATAGGGAATCGTCTCATAATGGACAGTGCAGACAGCAGGAGGGCTTAAATTACTGCATTAAGGCACTGGGTCAAAAAAAAAACACTAAGCAGACTAACACCATTGCCTCCACTCAACTCCTTGATGACAATTCACTTTAAAAAGGGGCTTAATAAAATGTTTCTAAATATAAATCCTGTGGAAAACAAAAAGGTAAATCACACTTACGTACCTTGAAATCACATTAAAAAATCAAAACATATTTATATTTTTTTAAGATCATTACAGTGGAAATCGTTTCGGGAAATTACCAAAAGACACACAATAACATGCACAGCTTTACTGCACAATAAGCATGCAAAGCATTGGGTATGATGATGGAAGGATCAGCTGGTCCTCTTCAGCGATATTAGTAATGCTGAAATTTATCTCCTGCCAGTGGAATTATACACACAAAGTTCCAGTCTGTGGCAGCTTTCCACTTGCTCAGTAAAGTAAAGCTATGTGATAACTTGATAGGAAAAAAAGGTAGTACTGCATAAACGTTTTCTAAAAGTAACTTTTAATACTAAATTAAAATACTTTGGGGTTTAAATAAATAACTGGTCATTCTAATCATACCAGATTTTCTTTTAAAATATTCATGCAACACTTTGGTTTTATTAAAATAAAATGTTACCAGTATGATTCATTTTTAAAGATGTCAGACTTGTAGTTGGCTAAAATGATAGTACCATCTCTGAGATCCCAAAATAGTGGTGAAAAATTCAAGACCTTTGATTTCCAATACATGAAACACAATGCCATATTAAATAAAGTAAAAAGAAGCAACATACTGATGACTTGGCACATGTACACAAAAAAGTTAAGAGTAGCAAGTGGAGAATCTAAACTTTGGTGTCCAGTCTGTGAACACGTGCACTAGACTAAGTCCCTGTGTCAGGCAAGGTTGCTTTTAGGCAACGGCAAAACAATTTTATTTGGGCTTTAGAAAATCCACTTCATGTTTATTTAGTTAGAATAGGATTATTGGATTAGGTCTATTCATCCTTTGCAGAAGATGTCAAGAAGAATATAAATTGTAGCACAAATAATCAGAGGTAACATTAGACCCTTATGTGCCTCAGATGTTTTAGTTACACTGTCTGAAAATATGTGAAATGTACATGAAAGCATAAATGGTTACGACAGAAGAAAAGGAAATCAAAAAGGATGCATATTCTGTAAAAGGATTCAGGTGTTCATAGCACCACTGTGCTGTATTAGAAGATAAGGCAACTTGATTGGAGAGCACACCACCTGATTACCATTCCTACAAAGCAATTCTTGGCTCTCCATCGGCAGCTGGGATACAATTCCCAGCATGCTCAGCTTAGCCTAAACCTACTCTAGGCCAAAGATTCTTCTCTTATTACTCATATACATTCAGTAACAAAACAAGTACCTTACTGTGTTACTGGGTAAGCTTAAAAATGCAAGATAACAAAGACCATATGTTAGAAAATGTGAATAGAGAAAATATATGATATACAAGTAGGAAAAAATGTGGAAAGTTCCTTTTTGGTTGGAAAAATAATTGCAGCTTAATTTTTCTTTTACAAAAACAAAAAGCAAGACACTTTGGGACATATGCAGCCAAAATACGTACAACAATGCTGTACTAAAAAAATATGAAATAAAAAAATAAAACTATTTGTTGTAACGGGGATAGACTTTCTTCAGTCTTACCATTAAAAGACACACAGATATAGCAAAGGAAGCAAAAAGTAGAAAGGGAGAAAGGAATGGGATGAGCATTGATTAGCAGCGCAAGCTGAAACACAGCAGGACAGTTTGCAATCCACAAAGTTTCAGTTACAGGATAATATTCGATGTAATACAAAGGTTTGTAAATTTATTGTGGTCATTTAGTACTTATTAGTTAGGCCTTGCTACATACAGATGAAGGAAAACAAGGAAAATACATTTGAAGAAAATCAAAATACCTTTTTTTGAACCAATAACATTACATAGATGACATTTTTCACTCCACAAAAAAAAAAGAAAAGAAAAAAAAAAGAAAGTGGATTTCCTACACAAAGTGCCACCATATGTAACTAGTTATTACATTTGTTTATTGTTTCAAGTCTAAAGTTTATCTATAATGAAAAAAATATATTTTTTTTTATATTGTTATTGCGGCTTACCAGCCCTTAGATGTGGAAGCTGCATATTTGTTCCTATAGCAGGCTATTGTGCTGTATTTTTACCTAGTGATGTTGCCAATAACACACTTCCTATGCTAGGGTGACACTCATGTACTGTACTGCAGCTATGAAAGAGCAGCGTTGTCACCCTAGGCTGGCACTTGATTAGGACTACAAACACCAACCTCTCTTCATCCTGCATAGGGAGGTGTTGATAGTTCAGAGAAGATAGCTGGAAAGGTTGACTATTGTTTTGATGTCAGGATCAATAGCTATTTTTGTACTTGCAGAAAATTCATTTATATTGAAAAAAAAAACAGAAAAAAACAAAACAGCTAAGGACTAGTAAGCCGCATCATATTACATTTTTATTCCTGGGTTAAGAAATACTTAAAAACCACACAATCTGATTGAGTCCAATTACATCTCAATGACTGAGCCATTATGCCATTGCTCTACCCGCAGTTACATTGTGGTTGTCATTTACAATTTTAGTTCCTGGTTAAATTGGCAAGTACAGTCATAAAGTGAGAAAGCAGTACTTGGCATGCAGAATGCACTTTTTAAATAGAAATTTATTTTCTATTTGGTAACCACTTTCTTTAAAAAAGTCTGCCAACACAACTGATATTTTGGTAGACACTGGGGCGTCACCAGTTATTATAGTTCTTACAGTAACTGGTGAGATTACTGAATTGAGTCTGCACACCTGCTGTGGTCTTGTGAGTTTTCTGTTTTTTACTATGGAGAATGTACCAGGAGGTGCTGAGACATGCAAAGGTGGGCAGGAACACCCAAAGACTCCTAGTTAGAAGATGGCAGGGAGTATTCAAATATATAGTATAAGAAGTCATGAGTTAATGTAGACCATAAGGGTCCACCACTGACTAAAATATCACTTTTCTGTAGCCTTTAAGTAAATAAAATGTCAGACCCTTGACACTCAGAGTACTAAAAACCTAAAGCTGATTGCTCTGTATTAAATAACGTATCAAAATCAACAAAACCAAACTGTATTATACAATCAGCATGTACAGTGCATATCTGTAACAATATAAAAAGTAGCCCTTACAGCACCCCAAAATTCCAGGGTAATTTTAAATATATATTAGAGACCGATATCAGACAAAACGTTTTTCTTTAATGTTTTGGGTAGAGTGAGGAAGGGTTAGAACCTATTTCCCCTTACTTCCTCTCAGAATAGGAAGTTAAGAGACATCTCTACAGTGGGACATAGACTGCTACAACTCTCTTTTTCAATAAAATAATGAAGACTTCGAATGCCTAACAGGTAATTTTTTACTTTGTCTTCCTGCCTCAGTGTCAATCACTTTCCTAATTTCTTATCCTGCTATCACAAGACAGGAGGTGAAGTTAACGTAATGGAATCGTGGACAGTAATGGACAACTTGACAAAAGCATTTTCTGATCCCAAATCTTTTAAAAACAAATACAAATATACATTTTGACATGAGGGCTTTAAACTAGATGGATTGTTCACAGTACAACAGCTGACAGATCAGTCTGGAAAGAAAAGAAATTGAAAACTATAAAATTATTTTTCTGCTTAGGTAACTGTGATCAAAAAACAAACCATCAAGCACTGGTATGGTGGCTGATGGAACTTATACTTCCCTTAAGATGACACACTGAGAAATAACCATACTAAAATACAGGGGTTCAGCAAAAAATGGAGACACTACATGATTTGCAGGTGTGAAAGTGATGACGTTTCATGTTGAAAGCAGAAGTGATGTGACATTCTTTTGCTTCAGAGTCATGTTAGAGCTTACTGAGCCTAAAAGGGTGCAAATTGTTGGTACCCGCTTAGCTGGTGCCTCGGTGACTGAAGTTGGGAAATCATCGTCTGATAAGCATAAGCACAGTTGACATAGTCAACTGAGGGAAAGAGACAAAAGGACGTTGCGCAGGATTGTGACCCGGAATAAGAAAACAACTGCTGATAAAGTGATTGCAGAGCTCAGTCACAGAGGCACCAACTAAGCTAGAACCAACATTCTTCCCTCTTGGAAGCTCAGTAATCTTTGACATCACTCCGCTTTCACACCTGCAAATGCAGTGTTTCCATTTTTCTATTTAACTACTGTATATAAAAAAAGTTTGTTTTATGTTAGGGTCTGGGTCGTCAGGCTCTGAGCTAGTCACTGCTACTGAGATCATTCAAAAGTTCACTGACAGCTTCATTTGACCTACAGTGGACTCCTTTAAAGCTGCATCAACTTGCTACAAGTTGCTTTTGCATTCCAAATGACTTGTATAGGGAAAAAAAAGCAATCCTGACATCCTCAACAAAAGCTAAGTGACACAGTTAATTTGTGAAAAAGCAACATCAGCAAAGAAAAAGTTAAAAAGAAGCTATATACAACAATGGAACACTTTATAAAGAGTTCCATACTACATATCTAAGAATTTTAAATACGTGGCATAGAAGTACTTCTGGAGATATTGCTATTAAAGGCTAGAATGCCACTGGCACTGACACCCGTGAAGAGCACCAGATGTCAACAATTCAAAAGATAGTTGTGTGTAACTGTGCCTATAACAAAAAAATTGCATGCCACTTCCTCTTCTTCAAGTTAAACTTTATTGTATAGGCATCAGCAGGCACACACTACCATTCTTTCCTTTGATGTGTTTTTAAAGTGGTAGTAAACGCAATGTTTTGATTTTTACCTACGAGTAAGCTTCTAATAAAGCTTACCTGTAGGTTAAATTAATATCTCCTAAATGTGCACTGTTTAGGAGATAATCCTTGGCTGGCAGTCGGTGACGTCACTGGCACATGTGCTCTGAAGGAGCGGCATACCCGTGCTATCCCTTTTGAACTCTGTGCCGTGGTAATGATGTCATCGCAGCTCAACCATTCAAGCAGCCTTGCCCACAATTCCAGAAGAAAGACCGGGTGCAGATGGAAGCCTCTCAGTGCACCACTGTAGGGCTATGTTTCAAGGCAAGTCTTTCATAATGTGCTAGTATGTGATGCATACTAGCACAATATCTCTTTACCTTGCAGGGAGAAAGTTTTTTTTTTTTTTAAGTTTCAGAGTTTACTAATGCTTTAAAGCAGAAGCTCACACCGCTAATACCATTTCAGTCCATGCCTCCCGCCACTTTAATAATAGCAGGTCACATTTCTGTTTCCTTTATTCTTTCTTTTCTGATGGCTCCACCACCTTTTTAGTCAAAGCCTGAATGACATGCCCTGTTCCCACAGGCCCCTGGAGAACCCCCATCACATATCCCAGGAGGCTGTAGAGCCCACTCACAGAATGGCAAGGCAGAGCAGCCACATTATTAGACCCGGTAGAGGCAGCTGGCTAAAGAGAACCAAAATGGCGAATCAGGACACAAGCACACAGCTGAACAGTGGATCTCTGCAATACAGCAAAACATCCACTGGACAGGTAAGTACCTTTTTAATTTAACCCAACATAACAGCTAAGGGAGAACAGGGAGCAGAACCATAGGGAGGAGTTCTATTTTAAAGCCTCAGTAAGAAGTAAGACTCATGTGAAAGAGGAAAGCGTGGAGAGTCTCTGCTGATGCCTGTAAAATATAGTTTTAAATGCAGAAGAGGAATTGGTGTGCAGCCTTTTGTTTGCCACAGGAGAAGTAACGAAGCCCTGAGCTTTGCTTGCACTCATGGCCAAAAGTGCAGCTTGGGTCCTGCAGCAGTGATTGGAACATATAAGGAAGACTAACTGTGCCTATACATAAAAAAGTAATAAAACCTAGATTACAGTATTGAAGTCAGTTTCTCACCATTTGTTTCAGTTTCTTACCATAAAAAAAAATGTGGTTATTTAGAACTTGAGTAGAATAGTAGAAACAATAGAGGGGTACTACAATAGATAAATACCATTTATATATGTGACCATATCAAGTCCTTGTCAACTTGACTGGCAAAAAATTTTATTTGACTAATCGTGTCTAAATGTATATCTATATGGTAAATAAAAGATAGCATATGTGGGTACAGTTCTTAAACCGCACGAAAAAAGGACACTAATAATCAAATCTGGAAAATATAAAATTATATTCCTACCATTTAGTCAAAAAGGTCTATATAACAAAATCATAAACTTAGAAAAAAAGTGTATATTTGTATTTCTCTACAAAATAAATTTTAAACTCATTAAGGCTAAGTTCGCCCTTCAGTGGTTTGCAGCCCGCAATTGCTCGAGAATGGCAGCCCATTAACTTGAATGGGCTGCTATGCCTGCTTTTCACGAAGAAAAAAAAAAAAAAAAAAAAAAAAGGTGCCTACACCTTTTTCAAAACACGGCCTCAGAGAAATTGCATGGTGGTTTAGCACTGCAGGTTGAGATGCATGGAGGTGCCATTAAGAATGAATGGCAGCTTCGCGCAGCTCTAGAGAGCAATGCATTTTTGCTGTGGGTGGTTGTGGACGCAGGAACAGCTGCAATTCATGCAATCACCCGCCACAGTGTGAACCTAGGCGAACTATCAATTGGCCAATTTAGATAGGATATTCAAATGCTTTTCCATGTCTCTTATCCTTTGAAAACGAAAAAGGATCCACCAGTTTAAAGCAGAACTTCACCCAAAAGGGGAACTTCCTCTCTTCCTCCTCTGACATATTTGGCACATACATTAATTATTTTGGGAGGGGGTAGTGAGTACCTAGTTTTGTAAAGTACCCATCCATTCATACTTTCACTCAGATCGCCTAGTTCTCCTCCCCCACTTCTAGCCTGCATCCTTCTGGGACATGTCACAGGACCAAGAAGGCTGCAGTTAAATTCCCAAGGCACAGAGCAGTGCAGCTTATGGCACAAGCAGTCACAGCCTACCCACAGTTAATATGCAGGTGCCAGGGACTGAAGACCCGTGCAGAAACTGACCCGGGTGAGGACAGTGCTGGATCCTGGGACAGGTGAGTGTCTGTTTATTAGAAGTCAGAAGCTACAGCTTTTGTAGCTGAAGACTTAATTGTTGCACAAGAGACTGAAGAACCGCTTTAAGGTGAATCTGTGCTTTGCCTGTACAGGGCAAATCACACATGAACATTACAAACATTATTATTGACAAATACAGGGACACTAGCTAGAAGCCAAAGAGAAAAGGTTTGCTTGCACACATACATGTGCATATTGCCTGGGTCAATGCAGAAATGAAAGCCCTAAGATTACCATATTTTGGTTTGTAGCAGCCCATAGCAGACTGCTATGGGGCATTGTGTAGGAGGGGGATCCCATTAGGGAGGCTGTTAGGAAAATTACAATGTGAAGATTCCATGAGCTAAGGACAGGATCCTCTGCTGGTCACAGTCCCTCCCCTCCATACGGTAAGAAGCATTTCCTTAGCTGTCTTAGCAGATTAAATGTAGCTGTATCAATTTATTGCCCTTTAAATTTCTGTTCCAGACCAAAATTATATGCCTAATCCAAAAATTAAAAAAAAAAACAAAAAACACAAAAACAAACTAGATTGCTAAAACCTTATAACAGACAGTTAAGAAAAAGTTTTAAAAATGTATAATAAAGTTATAGTATGTGTGAAAGTACATCAATAATTTTGTCATAATATAAAATATAATCATGTTTATTATTGTTAGTACAACTAGAACATTTATCGAAAGCACTGCTCCCCAATACTGTACTGACTATGCTAAAAGCTCTCCTGCTATGTGCTCTTGATTTAGGCATATTTTATGTTAAAATTAATGATATGCATGGTCACAGCTGACACTGCCAGCTGCTACAGAAAGAGTTTTCAGGTGGCCCCATCAACATTTAGCTATGGGATCCCATGATTTGCAGTTATGCCCCTGGTCTGTGAGAAAGCAAACAGGATGGGGGAGGTATTGTGATTTATTCATTATAAATCAAGGGTAAACAGAACCAGAATTTAATTTACTTAATGATAATCCAAGTCCATTCTTTCATCTGGAAACTAAGGTATCTTATAACACATCCAAAAAAAAATGTTATTATGTCATTTGTCCATTTTATAAAAAGTGTTTCAAAACAGTTGCATTTTTTACATATGAACAAGAAACACTTATTTATGAATAATGGCTACAACTGTAACTTTCATTCATAAATTAATAAAAAGCAGGGCTGAGTTGTCAAATTGACATCTTACGAAGACAGAACACACTAGGCTCTCCCTGTACAATCAACAGGGGGCTGTTCATATGAAAGCTGTCCTCTGCACTGTTCAGCAGCTTATGATAAGTACAGGGACAGGTGTAACAAAGACAGTGGACCCCCTTTGATTACACTGGGAGAGCCAATTTCTCAGTATAAACAGTCAGCAGGGCTGATCTGTATTTTGACAGATTGGTCTTGCAGAGCACAGGTGGAATCCAGAGAGCAGAGACAGGAGAGGCTCCCAACCCAGCTGGGCTCTATCCAGTGCAGGTGGGGTGGGTGTCTCGGTGGCCAAGTCCTGCTGTAAACTGTAATTAAATCTTCAGGAAAAACACAAAAATGTGAATAGTTTAGATAAAAGTTTTAAATATAAGCTTACCTTTTTTTCATTTCTAGCAGTTGGTTATTTAATACTGATCTCTCCTCTTCAAGCTAAAACAAACATAAAAATCAGTAATAAATAATATATTCAATACAGAACAAGCTTCAAACAAGCTTGGGACAAACATAGATCTATGCTCAGACAAAAATGAAATATAAATAAATAAACCTAAAAACAAAAAAACAAAAAACAAAAACGGGCAGACTCAATGGACCACTCGGTCTTTTTCTGCCACCACTTTTCTATCTACCATGTTTAAAACTGTAAGGTCCAAGACCACAGTTAGAAATGTTATACGTTCAGCACCACTAAGGATTAAAACTGAACTCTGGTTGCCATCATTACATTATCTGTTGATGTGTTTAGTTTTTCTTTTCCTTTTTAAGACTTGGCATATAAAAATCTGCTTTACTTTGTCCTTTTGGTTATCTTTCACTGTACTGAATTCCAGTTTTGGTGTCAGTGGGGAGCAGAAATATAGCAAAAGGCACCCAAAAGGAAGAAATAAAAGCAGATTTTAATATGCCAATTCTTGAAAAGAATGTTTAAAAACTCAGTAAAAAATAAATGAAAAACATACATTGTGAGGATGCTGAAAATGTTCAAGTGTATCCAAGGGTACAAGCATGGAGAATAAGCTGTAGCAAAGGCTACTAAAAGTAGATTTTTTTTTAATGCCGCCTTCTATGCTAAAAGAAAACATACCACACTGCAGAAGTAAGGCCAGAAAAACACATCCACATACAGTTTATAAGTATGGTGACCAGAGTTCAAGTTTAGGCCCTCTCTAGAAATAAAATGCAGCAGCAGTGACAGGACTGCCTTACAATGCTCTGATGAATTTTATTCACCCAGTTTAAGTCCCTGACTAGTCATTATCTGGAACAATTCCCTGATGAGAACTCTTTCTATACAAAGTAATCAAAGTCAATGTGACCACTGTCTGGTGGTGCTTTAAGGCTGATGTTCAGGTTGAAAATGTAGTAAGGAACAGCCAGGGACGGACTGACAACTCATGGGGCCCCCAGGCAATAGGGGATCATGGGGCCCCTGTGCCCTTGCCCAAACTCAAAAACGCCTATGAAAAAGGTATCAGGGGCATCTAATGGAGCCCCCTACTGACCCCGGGCCCTCGGGCAGTGCCCGGGTTTCCAAATGGTCAGTCCGCCCCTGGTAACAGCACAATTAGCTTCTGTATATCCAGCTTTTAACACCAAAACATATGTATCATTTGAGAGTCTTTCATTATGGATTAAGAAAAACTGTAAAAAAACATACCAATAAAAAAACTATATTAAGATAAATCCAGAAGAGAAATCAATCCAGTGGCTTTAATATTTTGAGCCCCTGACTGGGACAAACGTGCAGATCAGAAAAATCAGAGTGAAGCAAGAACTCAGTAAGGGTTCTAGAGTTGCATTCAAAAGTCGCAAAGTTGTCAGACCTCTGTATTTTCATATTTTGTATAGTGTAGTATGATAGAACTAAAAACACCTTTGTGCATTTCAAACCAGCAGGAAATAATATAGAATAAATATTTAATTATTTATGTATCTTCAGTGCTCCAGGAAAGGAGGTGGATGATTCTCTACATCAGTGCTACTAGCTGACAGTTCTAGCTGTGCAGGTAACCTTTTAACAGTAAGTGGTGCATCTGATTGAAAATGTCACAGAAAACAAAAAATTATGTACAAAAAGAAAAGTACCAGTATTAGTCTGAATGTAACAAAAATACATAAAAACCCTTTAACCACACACTTCACATGAAAGTTACATGTGCTGGATTTATAATAATGACAGTAATGGTGTGAATTAAGAATGTGGGTTGCTCCAGATTAATTGAACCTGGGATTTAAGTTACAGAGCTTTTAGGGTGCTTAATTGAAACATAGCATATGTTGCCACAGCAAAACCCAAACAAATGCAGTTAAAGTGTTTTAATTAATATAATGCTAGAACGTGGTCGCAGTGTTATGTCAAAGTATGCTATGCACATTCTTTCTAGAGAGTCATTTGGAGGTTCCAGTGTGAGCACCCAAGAAGAGCAGAATTTGTGTTTATGAGCTTATACTGAAATTGAAAGAGGTTTTATTAGTATTCCTCTTCAAAACTGCACCTTATGGTACCCACAGATATGAGATGACAAACAGTTCGGATGCTTTTGGCTAGATCCAGTCAGTCTTGCATATGTGATTTCTCACAGACAATGCTGCCTGACAGTCCTGGAAGTAACAACTTGTTAGCTAGGAACACTTCCTCAGATCACCATATTAACTCTCTGTACATAGTTTCCCCTCTCCATGTCTTGTATACAAATGGCACAGTTGAGCTGGCCATTCATATTTTTGCAACAAGCTAGCCCAAAGGACGTTTAGAGATGTCGTGCCCGTATATCTGACATACTCTGGTGTCTCCAACATTAACCAGAAAGCAGCGCTCAAATCTCCTTGCTGCACTCAAAATGGAATAGTGCATTTGCTGAGGTGCCACCCTTGATAGATAGGGGAATATTGATACTAGCAGAAAAAAACAAAACAGTGCGCACTCTCCTCGTACAGTAATGCAAAAATCATAAATTTATTAAAAAGATGCAAAAACATACTCACAAGCCATAAAGGTCATAAAAACAGAGACATGAAGTCAAAGATGCCAATCCTGGACAGCATGCATCCTCGGATAAAGTGCTAATGCGTTTCGGGAGTCGAACTCCCTTCCTCATCTATTGCTCTGAGGGAGTTTGACTCCGGAAACGTGTTAGCACTTTATCCGAGGATGCATGCTGTCCACGATTGGCATCTTTGACTTCTTGTCTGTTTTTATGACCTTTATGGCTTGTGAGTATGTTTTTGCATCTTTTTAATAAATTTATGGTTTTTGCGTTAACGCATAAGGAGAGTGCGCCCTGTTTTGTTTTTTTCTGCTAGTATACTCTGATGTCTACAAGAAACTCTACTATACATAAAAGCACTTTTGGATGTTTGATAAAATCTAAGAACATGTAATATGGAATACACTGAATAAAACAAAAAAATATTTATTGTCCTCATAGTTAAGGACCAACACATCAGTTACAAAGACATTGAAGTAAAAATATTAAACAAAAATGCTGCAAAAACATAGTTATTTTCTCTTTAACATGAACAGCAAAATAATTATGTACACTACAGATAATCCTATATATTTATAACAATCTACTAAAGGTGGTGTTTGGTCATTACACCGAGAGAATCAGATTAATTAGGTGGTTCAGAATAATGTACACGTTTTGTAAACCACATGAATTCCTGCAAATTGTTGTCACCTTTAAAGCTTGTCACGCTCCAAAAATAGCAATTTCACAGCGAACGTCAACACTGCAAACACCCACACGTAGGCAGACTGTTCTTTCAGAGATGAATATCGGCCTATAAAATACACACTACATTGCTATGTACAAATCCAGTACTATGGACGATTACACTAGTACCTTATTGCCTTTATTCTTCCATTTACCTTACTGGAAATAGAAGGTAGTGTCAAGCCATGTAATTTATCTGCCGCATGATACTCTATGACCATAGTTCAGTTCCCCTTTCAGAATTTGTGACAGTATATTACAAATACAAAGCAATCTGGAACTCTCACAGTTCACCAATCCCTTCATACCAAAAGGCTACTGGCAATGACATGATGTACGCGTTTAACCATGTGTTTTAAAGATAACTTATGTTGCTAGTGCTGCATTTTAAGCAATCAAGTGAGCAAAGTGGAAGGTTGCCATGGTGACAAATTGCTTAAATTCTTAATTCTGGCAGGACTAAAGCAATAAACCTTCCTGAAAGTAAAAAAATGTTCATTAAGTGAGAATCAGATCTTTAATGTGGCAGACACCTGTTTGCGACATACAGAAAAATCCTTCTACATTCTCCGACATAAATGACTGTGAATCAAAGAAAAGCAAGTAGCAATTACTACCAACATGCTGGTGCTACAAGTGCGCAGACATAGTCCTAATTCAGTTCAGCTGAAGCAAACTACCTACCCTCAAACAGGATGCTATGTACCATTTGTGACCATTTGTCATTTTTACAGGTCCACTAATTATCATTTTATCCACCCTACTTATCTAAACCATTATAGGAACGGAGATAGTCAAGACAGATCTTTAACAGAAAGAAATATAAGCAAAGTAGGGATTTACTGACCTTTTTTGGTTAGTTGATACTTCCTCTTTGCTCCTTCCAAGCTCCTCTGCAAGTTTGAGGTTCTCCTCCTGCAGAGCTGATAACTGCTGGGACTTGTGCTCGGCTGCCTGCCTCAGCTCTTCCCTGCAAGGACAATGAGAACAGTTACTATGGAAACATGACAGGCAAGGAAACTGTGGGATAGAATCGTGTTCACCGCTTGAGAAAAATACATCCTAATCATGTGACTTCTATAATCTGGAGCACGGCACATATAAAATAAATGCATGAAATACTAGGTGCAAAGTGATTACTAAAGATCACGTCAACTCAGGTTCCACAAAAAAGACCCCAAGTTTTCCAGTCCTCTTCCTACCAATGACACCCTATAAGATCAAGAAATTTAAAGTAAAATTAGGAGTTTTTTGGGAAAAAATTCTATGACAAACCAATCTGAGAGTGATGTATGCATATATTTTCTGGCTATGGATTGCCAGCATTTCTGAGCAGAGTTTTCAACAACTATTTAGTAACTATGAAGTTCACGCTTGATGCAAAAAAAAAAAAAAAAAAAAATACCTTACACGGTGAGGGGGCTCATTTTCATAGGCATTTGTATGTTGCTTGTACAGGGCTCAGTTTAGTTCATGGCCAAACTACAATGGTGTGCATTAAAAGTAAAGGTAAGCAGAATTTACTGTATTAGGCACCATTAGGGAGAGACAAGTGTGAGGGTACATTCTCAAAATGACTAAAAGGAAACACGTACTGTATTGAAAGTAAATGTATGTTTCTATTGCTGTCCTCTCCAAAAAATATTAGTTGCCCAGACCAGGTTTACCAGAACAAAAACAGCAAAAATGCTGCAGCATCAAGAAAATTAAAAAGGCTAAACAATTTAAAGTTTGCAATATAAAATTTTACTGTGATTTAAACTGTTTGTATATGCCACTAGAAAGCCCACAGTGCAAATTGTCCTGTTGTGAAACATGAAAGAATTTTAAAATAAAAATTACTTACAACTCTTTCTTGAGAGCTTCTGTTTTCATACATTCCCCTTTCAGAAGACCATTTGTCTTGTTTATTTGTTCCGCAGCTGATTCTTGCTGTTTTCTAAGGCTTTCAAGCTAGGATGAATAAAATCCCCATCAATGATTCCTTCAATATTTAGGAAGAAATTACTAAAAAGTACAGGTCATCCTAACTATAAAGAAAGTGTAGGAAAATAATTTGCTGGTATATTTGTGTGCTAATCTGTAAAGCTGAAAGAAGCATTTGCTTAGTTTAATCCTTGTGTTAATGCTGAGGATTATTACGTAACTGTTAATCCCAACGGCATTCTAACGGTATTACTCTTATTACTCCTAGAAACGCAATCTAGTAAATCTGTAATTATTGCTAAATAAAAATTCTATACTACTAGAATATCCCTTTTGCGTTTTTCTATAATAAAAAAAACAAAAACTTCATGACTAAAACTGCCATTATGCTCTCACGTGCATTTCATAAAAAGAGTTTTGTTTTTGCTGTAACTGTAATAAGTGCGTTATATTACTGTATTCCTGCTCAACATGTTAAAATAGCAATCACATTTTCCAGTCTAAATCCATGCATTTGCAGCACAGCTGTTCCTATCCTGCAGAGGACCATTAGGGAGATTCATCTTCTCTGTTTGTCATGTTATTACCGAAAATTAAAGTAAATTCCACATTTTGGGTTGTCACTAAAACAGTAATGGAAATCTTCCAATTGGAACATTAGATTTGGTGACAACTAGGGATTCCTCTCATTCAGGTTTTAGCTATAGGACATGAAGTGAAGGAAAATCTCCCCAATGGGACACAACTGGCAAAAAAACCTGAAGGGGTTATAACCCTCCCTTGCTTTATTCAAAAGTGGGAAAACATTTTTTCCTTTATTTTTATTTAACCACTTTCTGTCCGGCCCATGTATATAAACGGCCGGACGGGAGCAGTGCAGGAGCGGGTTGCCATTCATAAACGGCATCCGCATTTTCAGCATGTGCGCGCTCTCTGGGAGCGCGCGGCACCGCAATCCGGTGCCCACTGTGTCCTGAGGACACAGTGGAACACAGATCGCTGTATTGGACCTCTGCGTGAGGTCCCGATCATGTGATCACTGATTGGCCAATCAGTGATCATATGAATAGTAGTAAACAAGATGTCACTTCCTGACATCATTGCTGACTACATGTGAAATCTGTGAATGATCACAGAGATCATGCGGTACAAGGCTATTCACAACAGCCTTGTACCATGTGACAAGCTGTGACCAATCACAGCTCTCACAGTATTTCTCAATGGCTGCTTTTACAGCCTTTATGGGTGTAAAAGCAATCAGTGTAAACAAAAAAAAAAAAAAAATCTTCATTACCCCCACAAGTAGTACAGTGTCACTATGGTGACACTGTACTGCTAGGGTGACAGTATACTAAAAAAAATATATATATAATAAAAGTGTAAACGTTTTTTTAAAAAAAAATAAATAATTTTTGGTTATAAACTAATTTGGGTTATTTTTTTTTACTAAAAACATAGCTGAATACATTTTGGCCAAGATTTATGAAAAAAGATTATTTATTTGCAAAATGTTATAAGAAAACCTTTTTTTTTCAAAATTTTGGACTTTTTCATTTATATAGCAAAAAAATAAAAATCCCAGTGGTGAATAAATATCGCCAAAATAAAGTTTTATCGTCTCAAAAAAAATGCTAAAAAATTCATATGGGTACAGTGTGCATGACCACGCAACTGTCATTCAAAGTGTGATAGTGCTGAAAGCTGAAAACTGGCCTGGACAGGAAGGGGTAAAAGTGTCCGGACTTGAAGAGGTTAAACAATATTTTTAGCCAAACGTTCACAAATACAGCACATAAAAATAAGCAATAATTCTCATATTTGTATAAATCAAGTTCAATAAACTTAATTAAGCAATTATTTGGCAATAGATATTTAAGCTGCATTAGACTGGAATGTTTAGAAAATGTATCAGTGACCTAGCCCACCTTGCATTAGGTACCATAATCAACTTTTACCATGGTAAACATTATACATTTTGTAACAAACTCTCTTTTCTACATACAAATATGCAAATCTCTAAGTCATTAATGAAAAAAAAATATTTTGCATTGACTTGAATTCTTTTTTTTTTTTTTGCCCATGATGTTATAGATATTCTTTAAGACTGATAAAAGTTACTCACTTCTTTTTGCAGATCACTGTGCAATTTCCTTAGCTCTTCCATAGCAGTAACTGTCTCGACCCTCTCTTTGAGCATTGCATTTTTCTCTGCAGTCACCTGTTCAATTTTCTGGCAAGCTTCTTCTGCAATTTGTGAAACCTACATTTAACAGTAGGGACTGCAGGTCAGAAGGGAACAGTGGCACAGAAGAATAAAACACTACTAATGGTATGGGGACTTTTGTCAATAACAAAAAAAACACAAAACCAAAAAAAAAAAAAAAAACACAGTTAGATTAAGGAAAACACCATAACCAGAGCATTTCCATATCCACGTTGAATATACACTAACTAAATAATTAAGGTTCCGATGTGACGTGGATATATAAAGAATTCTGGTTGCAGCATTAGCAAAAAAATAAAAATAAAATACTTGCTTTAGGGATGCCCCTTTTGCAATGCCATCAGCATGTTTTGACCACTACAAAGATAATCATCAATACTGATATAATCACTAATAGGGTATAGGGGTGCACTTAACATATCATAGGAAAGTGCATCATTTTCACTTCTATATACAGTGTTCAGCATAAATGAGTGCACCCCTTTTGAAAAGTAAGATTTTAATCACTATCTCAATGAACACAAGAACAATTTCCAAAATCTTTACAAAACTGAGTTTTATAGAACATTTGTTTAGCTCTTTACATGAAAGTAATGTTAAAGTGGTTGTAAATGCTGAAGGTTTTTTTCCCTTCATTCATTCTATGCATGAAGGTAAAAAAACCTTCTGTGTGCAGCAGTCCCCCCAGCCCCCTCAATACTTACCTGAGCCTCATCGCAATCCAGTGATGTGAATGACAGCCTTGGCTGTATCGGGTCTCTGCCTCCTCATTGGCTGAGACAGCAAGTGGGAGCCATTGGCTCCCGCTGTTGTTAATCAGAGGCAGTGAGCCAATAAGGAAAGAGAAGGGGTGGGGTCAAGCCATGGCTGTGTGTGTGTCAATGAACACATGGAGCAGCGGGTGCCCCCATAGCAAACTGCTTCCGTGGGGGCACCTGACAGACAGGAGGAGCCAGGAAAGCCTGCTGGGGACCTGAGAAGAGGAGGATTCAGGCTGCTCTGTGGAGAACCACTGCACATAGCAGGTAAGTATAGACATGTTTGTTATTTAAAAAAAAAAAAAAAAAAAAAAAACCTTTAGAATCGCTTTAATAATATAACTTAGATTACAAAATCTTCAGTTTTACTCAAATTAGTTGACGCAAAAATGAATACACCCCACAACAAAAACTACATCTGGTATTTTGTATGACCTCCATGATATAGAGCAGTGCAATTGTGAATTCATGATACCATCAATGAAATGCAGCTCCCCGACACAAGCAGCACTCATGCAGCCCCACAGAAGGACACTGCCACCTCCATGTTTCACTGTAGGCGCCATGCATTTTTCTTTGTACTCCTCACCTTTCCAACGCGATACAGTTTTGAAGCCATCAGTTCCAAAAACATTAATCTTGGTCTTATCACTTCACAGTAGAGTCCCAGTAGTCTTCTTCCTTTTTCAGCATGGGCCCTGGAAAATTCTAGGTGGGCTTTTTTTGTGCATGGGCTTTAGGAGAGGCTCCCTTCGTGTATGATGCCGATGCATGCCATTCCTCTGCAGTGTGTGTCGCATTGTGTCACAGGAAACAATCACCCCAGTGTGGCTTTCTACTTTAGCTAACTGCAATGAACTTGCATGACGATTTTCCTCATCAGAAGACGCTCCTGTCGAGGTGTAAACTTACGTGGATGGCCTGGATGGCCCTGTGAGATGGTTGCAGTGCCATCTTTGTTAAATTTTTGTATCACTTTTGCTACAGTATTCTGACAGATAAGTAAAGCTTTGCTGATCTTCTTGTAGCCTTCACCTTTCTTTTGTGAATGAAATGGGAAGGGTTTTTTTTTGTTAAGTAACGCCCTTTTATAATCAACTATCTGCTGGACACTTGTTTGATGAATAATTAGACTCACCTGTAGTTGAATTCTTGTTAATTAAGATTTTGTTGTCTAAAATTTAGCTTTGCTCGTTAGACTTTCATTGGAGTGTATTCATTTTTGCAACATGGTCTTGAATTAATTTGTTAGGAAAAATACTTTTTTGTGTGTGCAAATGAAAAAATCTTGTTTGCAATCAATGGCCTGCATTTATGGGAGTATTTTGTAGTATAGTGACCCATAGAAAATGTTGATTCTGAAAGTAAAGTAAAGGTTTTCTGACAAATCTGTTGAAGTGTACTCATTTATGCTGAGCACTGTATATCTTGCCCATAAACTCCTCTGTTCAAGTGAACGGCCCAGTGTAAAAATGATGAATAGAGCAACCTATATTTAAATCAACCAGTGTCACACTCCCACCATTTTTTTTGTAAGTGTAGCCGCCATGATATAAATATTTAAGCTACATCTGAAAATGTTAGCTGCCTACCTAGCATAATCATATTTTGACTTTAACACCTTTCTGAATCAATGACCCATAACTCAAAGAGAAGGAATTTCAACAATTTTCTGACACCTACAGTTGTGCTCAAAAGTCTGCATACCCTGGCAGAAATTTTGGCACTGATATTGAAAATATGACTGATAATGCCAAAAAACCTGTCTTTTATTTAAGGATAGTGATCATATGAAGCCATGTTTTATCACAAAGCTGTTTTGCTCCTTTTCTAAATCGTAATAACAAAAATCACCAAAATGACCCAAAAGTTTACATACCCTGGAATGTTTGGCATTGGTACAGACACACAAGGTGACACACACACACACACTAAAATGGCGTTTAAAAGGTTAATTTCCCACATCTGTGCCTCTTTAAATTGCAATTAATGTGAGTGTATAAATGGTCAGTGAGTTTGCTAGCTCTCACATGGATGCACTAAGCAGGCTAGATACTGAGCCATGGAGAGCAGAAAAGAACTGTCAAAAGATCTGTGCAACAAGGTAATGGGACTTTATAAAGATGGAAAAGAATATTAAAAAGAAAAAAAAAAAAAAAAAGATATCCAAAGCCTTGATATGCCAGTCAGTACTGTTCATTCACTTATTAAGAAGTGGAAAATTCGAGGATCTCTTGATACCAAATCAAGGTCAGGTAGATCAAGGAAAATTGCAGCCACAACTGCCAGAATTTTTCGGGATACAATGGAAAACCACAGGTAACCTCAGGAGAAATACAGGCTGCTCTGGAAAAAGACAGTGTGGTTGTTTCAAGGAGCACAATATATCAATACTTGAACAAAAATGAGCTGCATGGTCGAGTTGCCAGAAAGAAGCCTTTACTGTGCCAATGTCACAAAAAGACAGTTAACAATATGCCCGAAAACACATTGACATGCCTCACAGCTTCCGGCACAATGTAATCTAGAATGACAAGACCAAAATAGAGCTTTATGGTCACAACCATAAGTGCTATGTTTGGAGACGGGTCAACAAAGCCTATAGCAACTAGAATACCTTCCCCACTGTGAAGCATGGTCATGGCTCACTGGTGTTTTGGTGGTATGCGACCTCTAAAGGCATGGCGAATCTTGTGAAAATTGATAAGATGAATGCAGTATTTTATCAGAAAATAATGGTCGACAATTTGCATTCTTCTGCACGAAAGCTGTGAATGGGATGCTGTTGAACTTTCCAGCACAACAATGACTCTAAGCACAAGGCCAAACTGACCATTCAGTGATTACAGCAGAAAAAGGTGAACGTTCTGGAGTGGCCATCACAGTTTCCTGACCTTACTATAATTGAGCCACACTGGGGAGATCTCAAACATGCGGTTCATGCAAGTCAACCGAAGACTTTGCATGACCTGGAGGCATTATGTCAAGACAAATGGGCAGCTACAGCTCTGGCCAAAAGTTTTGAGACTGACACAAATATTAATTTTCACAAAGTCTGTTTCTTCAGTGTTTTTAGACCTTTTTGTCAGATGTTACTATGGTAAACTGAAGTATACTTACAAGAATTTCATCAGTGTCATAGGCTTTTATTGACAATTACATTAAGTTTATGCAAAGAGTCAAAATTTGCAGCGTTGCCCCTTCTTTTTCAAGACCTCTGCAATTCGTCCTGGCATGCTGAAAATCAATGACTCGGCCACATCCTGACTGATGGCAGCCCATTCTTGCATAACTAATGCTTGCAGTTTGTCAGAATTTGTGGGGTTTTTTTTTGTTCACCCGCCTCAATGGGATTAAGGTCTGGGGAATTTCCTGGCTATGGACCCAAAATTTAGATGTTTTGTTCCCCAAGCCAGTTAGACATCAATTTAGTCTTATGGCAAGCCGCTCCATCATGCTGGAAAACGCATTGTTCGTCACCAAACTTTTCTTGGATGGTTGAGAGAAGTTGCTCTTGGAGGATGTTTGTACCATTCTTTATTCATGGCTGTGTTCTTAGGCAAAATTGTAAGTGAACCTACTCCCTTGGCTGAGGGTTGCTTCTCCGTACATCCCATACAGGCAAGCAGATATACCGACTGATCTGCAGGAGACCTGCATAACACCTGTGATCTGCTGATCACTGGTGCAATGCTTTACAGGCTCCTGCAACAAAAAATAATAAATGCACATTTTTTTACTTACAAAGAAAATGTGTATTTATTATTTTTGGTCAAAAGGTTAAACTTATCTTTTAAAGATTCAGCTGCCACAAATAATATAGCTGCTGATTTTTGACAAACATACACTTACCAGTCCAGGGATCCCACACACTCTTCTCATCCGGCCAAGTTCTTCGATGGTCTTTGGGTTCCCAGCTCTGCCATCTTTGATGTTAAAAAAAAAAAAAAAAAAAAAAACGCCTCCCCACTGCACAAGAATTTCTGCACTTTCTCAATAGCCCCATAGTCTCCTGGGACCTGTGAAGTGTTCTCGGAGGTTGTAGGCAGGGAGGGAGCGAGAAGTACCACTCTGCTCGTTTAGGTGAGCAGAGCAAAAGTGGGAGCGCATACCTATCAAAAATAGGTACCTGCTCCTAGAAAAAAAAATAAAAACTCCCAAAAGTATTGGGGGGGGGGGGGGGGGCAACAGATAGCATCCAATACTAATAGCAGTCTAGCTGTCACACTTTTCACAGCCAGTCTAGGTTAAGAATGTGCCATTCAGTAGTCTTCATGTTTGAGGAGGGTGATGCCAGAAAGGGGAGTATATTGCCAAAGTACATCACCAGCGCAAAAGAAGAATCTCCTTGTTGGTATTACACATGGAGAAATTCTTATTTAGAATACACTAATACCATATGCACTAGGTCAGTGCTATACAACTGTCAATCTAAGGGTAGTAGTTATCCCCAGAGGTTGCAAATTTGCTCCTGCAGCTGGCAGAGGCCAAGAGCCAATGACTACAATAAAAAACTGACACTATATCTTTGGAGGGTTGCAAAGAGAAGAAGCATTATTTCGGATTGTCTCACCCATTACTCCATCACCTATTAACGCTGTATCCAACAGGAAGAGTCAAAAATACAGCAGAAGATGTGGATATGTACACATTTGTATGTGTGTTACAAGTGGGTGTAACTGGAGAGATACAAAGCCATAGTGACTGAACCATGATACTGTATGGGGTGACAGATTATAAATAAGCACACATACAATGGTCACAGTGCATATAGGCATACTTAAATTTGGCAGAGAGCATATTGGCTCACTCACAATGGGCACAGTGCATATAAGCAAACTTACGATGGGCAAAGTGCATATGGGCTCACTTACAATGGGCACAGTACATATAAGCACACTTACAAGGGGTAGCACTTGCTGCTGAAAGTAACAACTGTGTGTAGGTATAGTGACATCAGGATACAATATTATTGAGCAGAACATTTTACTAATGCATGAAAGGTGGTAAAGTATGAATAGCCATAATAAAAATTATGGTTGGACTGTATGCATTCACATGGTGTTTGGCCTTTCATCACAAATGGAAAATCATATGGATGACTGCTGGAACTGCAAATTATATATTTAAATATATGGAAACTTGTAATATCCAGCTTAAGTTCTCCTAAAGCAAGCATTGCTTTATATCAACTAAGAATGCCCACTGACTGATCAGGATTACCAATGGTGTGAAGAGCCAAAAAAACCCAACAAAAAACAATTTAACAACTAGACAACGAAACTGTAAAGACTGAAAAAAAGTCTAATTTTGATCTCTAAGACCAAATTTCATGCTGTAGATCATTTAATACATGCTTTGGATTAAAAAATATTTGTCAATGATAAGTAACAGAAACTGTGAATAAAATCTACAAAAATTAATCAACATTATTGTTTACACTTTATTTATGTGTTTATGTGTTGTTCCACTGAAAACCAGAAAACATTTGCCAGTGATTTTATTCACAGTTTGATTTTATAAAAATTATTTATCAATTAAAAGAAAAATTACCCATTCCTCTAATAACCTGTCACCGTGAAGTAGTAAAGTGAAAAGCATGCAAGTGCAGGTGAGCATTCAGTTGACCCTAAAATTAGTGCTCAGTGTTAGTAATTTTAGTTCACTTCTAAAGTATACCTCATTAATTTTTTCTTCTTGGCTCTTCTTCTCAACCTGAAGCTCATCAAACTTCAACATCAGCTCCTCTTTTGCATCCAGTATAGTCTGGTATTGAACCTTCAGCTGCTCAGCCAGACCTGACACTTCCAAGTTGTCTCTGGTTAATGCAACCACTTGTTCAGACAGACTGTCACACTTCTTCAGGGCAGTTTCCTTTTCTTGCAAAATAGCTGAATATGTGCTTTCTAGGTTTTCATGTGTGAATACCAAACAAGACCTCTCTTGACGCAGCTTTTCTAACTCCTTTTCTGAAACTTCATGCTGACCGCGAAGGTCTTCCAACTGCTTGTAAACACCATTATACAAATCTTGTAACTCTGCCTTTGACTTGTTTAGAGAAGCAACATTCTGGTCAAGCTCTTCCAAGTTGGAGGAAAGTCTGATGCTCTTGAGTTCTAAGCTCTCCCTTTCCTGGGTAAGAGAGTGGAGAAGATTCTCTACGTTCTCTTTCTGCTCCAAAAGCTTGTCATACTTACACTGAAGCTCTTTACTTTGAAATACCATCTGATCTTTTTCTTCCTCCATGTTGTCCAAACCTTGTTGAAGCTTTGTACATTTTAGTTCCAGACATTCTTTTTCATTTTTAAAAGCATCTCTCTCTTCAATTAACCTCTGCTCAAAATGTGTAATATGTGTATTAAGTTCATTGCATTTTTCCAGTAAGTTCTCGCTCTCTTTTGTCAAAAATTCCTTGTCATGAGAACATTTATTATAATCCTCACGCAAAGACTGTAGTTCTGCTAAATTATGATTAAACTCTATTTTGAGAGAAGCTGTGTCATTCATTGTTTGTTCAAGTTCGAATGTAAGGCTGTCATTAGTTTTAGTCAATTCTTCAGCGCGTTTCTTTGCTCCCATGACATCCCCATTTAGTGAGTCAATCTTTGCTAACAGATTGCCTTTCTCTTGTAATAACATAAGGTTTGCAGACTCAGAACACTCCAACTTGGCTTTTATGCTGGATAATTCATCAACAATCGATTCCTCTTTGGATTGGAGCTCTGTGTTTATTGCCTTAAAGGCAGCATTCTCTGCAGACACAGATTGAAGTTTTTTTTCTAAGTCTGACATCTGTAGCATCATCATCTCCTTTGCACTTTTTACATTATTAAAGTCACCTGTCAGTTTGTCCTGTGCAAGCTGAGCCTCTTCTGTGCACCTCTGACATTTAGCCTCAAGCTCCTCATTTTTCCTTAACAGATCCCCTATTTCTGTAGTCAACTTCCTCTCAGAAGAAAGCAACATCTCCTTTTCTTGTAGGAGGTTAACACGCTCAGAGTCTGATATACTACTATTGGTCTTAATTTCTTCAAGCAAGTTTGTAAGACTTTCCTTGGAGACCAGAAGTTCTTCATTTTCTTTCTGTGCCCTTTCAAGTTCTTTTCTAACTGCTCTTACTTCAGCTGTTAATTCATTACAATTATCAACAATATTATCCTTTTCTTGGAGCAAATCTGTAATACTCACGTTTAAGTCATTTTGCTTCAACAAGAGTTCTTCCATTTCAGTAGTTAGATCTTTGGTTCTAATCAGTAACTCATCACGCTCTACAAGTAAAGCAGAAAGTTTGTTTTCAAGCCCTAATTTTTCAGCTAGAATATTCTCCTTTTCTGCTGTAAGGGTATGTACTTCACTGGTATATTCTGCTTGCTTCCTATCCATGTCTTCTTTAAAAGATACAAGCTTCTGACTAAGGTCTTCCTTTTCCATAATAGCTGAATTCTTTTCATCGATGATGTTCTTTTGATATACCACCATCTTCTGCTTTTCTTCTTCAAACACAGCACAAGTTTTAAGCAATTCATCCTTTTTAGTCAACAATTCTAGGTTTTCTTGGTTTGCTTTATCTAGCTGTGATTTAACCTCATTCATTTCATGTTCCATACAACTATGTAGAGATGCTAGATTTTCTTTTTCTTTAAGAACATGTTCTATATCTGTATTTAGATTATTTTGGTTTATTAAAAGATTTTCTCTTTCAGACTGGACATCTGCAATGGTTTTGACCAGTTCCATATTTTTATCAATTAAAACAGAATTCCTGCTGTTCAATTCCATATATTTATCCAATGACAATTTTTTTTCTGTTTCAAGTTCATTTATTTGTTTTTCCAGAGATTTCTGCTTATTCACAAATTCTTCTTTTGTGTTTTTGAGCATTTCAATAATTTCATCCTTTTCCCTGGCAAGAACTATTTTTTCTTCATTGAGCTTGACCTGGTTTTCCTGCATTTGCTGATATTTGTTTTGCAGTTCTACATAATCTGAAAACAGCGCATCCTTGCTTTTCTGAAGTTCTGACATACTGGCATCCATTTCAGTAACTGAAGACCTTAGGCTTTCAGAATCCATGCTAAATTTAAGAAGCTCTTGTTTAGCACTGTCTAAATCAGCTATTAGTTTTTCTTTGTCACGTGCTAATGTTTGAGAGGTGTTACTTAAATCACTATATCTTCTTTCAAGTTCCTGCTTCTCATTTGTAATGCCATCTTTCACTGTTTTAAGTTCTTCATTGAGTAACAGTAGCCGGTTTTCCTCTTGTTGGAGTCCATAAATAGAAGACTCAAACTCCAAAATCTTTGGCAGTAGAGAATCTTTCTCCAGCTTAAAAGCATTTGCCTCCTGGGCAAGTATGTCTTTATCCTCTCTCAAAACCCTCATCTCTTCTGTTATAAGTTCAACCTCTTTCCTTTTGGAGTCTAAAATACAGGTTAAAGACTGAAGGGATAAAGTTGGGAAGAAGGAAAAAAAAAAAATGAAAATCAAGCACTAATGGAGACATGGAGTAAGCGGGAGACTTAGCAACTCTATGTATTAACTGACACACTTCAAATACTGAATAGATAAACACTCTGAAATCAGAATCCTAAATAAAAAGTCATTGTAAATGGTTTGATTTTGGATACTGGAGGAGGAAGATTTTATGTATATGGGTGTTTTTCACTGTGCAATACCATGTTCCATTTAATGGTCTTCAGTGAGCACAGGACTAAGCTGGTATAAAAAGGCTTTCACTGTACCCTGTACGTTGCATGACAAGAGTATATATGGGAGTTTTAGGACAGCATTGGGTACAAAGCCCATTTAAAAGCGTTCCAAGTCACCTGATATTTTCTTCTGGACCTCTCCACCATAACAATTCCACTGTAAACATTAAAGCTAAAGCTTCTGTCTGACCCCATTGGGGAGACATTTACTTTCCCTGTGATGCCCATACTAGAAATAGGGGTACAGGACAGTACTTAAAGCAATAAAAACCTTGCTCAGTTTTAACCTTTACTCAGTCCACTAAAGAGGTTCTTTTTGTTTTTGTCTCTGTCCAGGTTGGAGAAATTTAATTACAGGAGGTGATGAGTAACCTCTCCATAGGCTGCAATAAAAACCTGACAGAGGGACACTGGTGGTCTGAAACCCTGTCCTGCTGTATCCATAAAGAAATTTAGGATTGCTCAGTTTAGCTTTGAATCTACAGCAATGCCCTAAAAATTAAACATCAGTTTTGGGTGCAATCATCATTTAAATGCAATTTGTATTTTAAAAAGCACTTCTGCCAATTTGTCCAAATGGAAAAGTAGCTTTAGACATCACTGGAAACTATGAGTGAATCATACATCAAACACAGCCACACAAACAACAAACAGTATAAAACTGATTTTGTCAACCACAATGGGGACAAGGTTTTAACAACAGATGAGTTTGGATAAAAATTTCTTAAAACCCACTAACAGATTCATCCTAAACAGATGCACTATTCCAGAATAAAGAACTTATATCAAATATTCAAAAGAAGCTCTGAGACCATGCTAAGGAACTGCACATACTGCATCTCTGGTAAGGAAACATCTGACCCACTCCAGTTTTGGTCCATGCACCCACCACAGCCGTTCCAAGATTAAGTACTCCCTAGAATGATTCTCAATGCAAAAATATTTACATACCCAACAAAAGATCATTATGTCTCTTATACAAAATCTGAAAGAGGCACAAGAGTTTTCATCTGTGTAACAGGAGCGAAGGCCACAGCAGTTATAGAGCATATTCTACGAGGATTCATTGGGTCCACCCTTTTATTTTGCTACCCAAGGAGTCTTAACTGGTCACAACAGATAGGAGTTATCTGTGTGTGGGATATCATTCTGCTATAAGGATTGAGTCAGACTTACTTTGCCTTTTCATTGTGCTGAAGGCATGTGAGGGCTTAAATGACTATATGTTTGCTTACTTTATTCAAATCCTTGTATAAAAAAAAATAAAAATTGCAACAAATGCCTGCAGTTTCACTTTTTCATTTTGTATTGGATAAAAAGGGGAGGGTTCTGTCAGGTTTTCAGTGCTGTCTCCGCCTCCATTTAAGCGATTTCCTATCATGGCAACAAAAAAAATGTAAAGGGAGAGCTGAACAGGCAGAAAGCAACCTGAAAAAGGTATTAAACCTTCATACTACTTTTTTTTTGCTGTGGACTGTAACCCTCATTAGATAATAAAAATTAACTCTCTTTCTTAATATTAAAAAAGTATTTTTTTAAAAAGTTCTACGTGAACCTGGTTTACTTATTTTATAGACTTTTGAAATACAGAAAGGACAGATGCTCTTTGATCATCCTCTAGTCCAGGGGGTCTCCAAACTTTCTAAACAAAGGGCCAGTTTACTGTCCTTCAGACAGGGCCGGATTGTGGCCATTGGGAGCAGAAAAGGTTCCGATGTCAGTGGGGAAAAGCAATACCCCATCTTTGGTGTCAGTGGGGGGAATTGTGCCCCATCAGTGGGGTCATTGGGCCCCATTGTTGGTATCATTGGAAGCAATTTTGCTGAATCATTGGTGTCAGGGGAGGAATTGTGCCCCATCATTGGTTTCAATGGAAGGAATTGTGCCCCATCAGTGGGGTCAGTGGGCCCCATTGTTGTGTCATTGGGAGGAATTGTGCCCGATCATTGGTGTCAGTGGTGGGAATTATGCCCTATTGTTGGCATCAGTGAACGAAATAGAGCCCAAAGGGCCAGATAAAAGAAGAGGGCAACATCTGGCCCTTGGGCCGCAGTTTGGAGACCACTGCTCTAGTCCGTGCCTCTATGAGAACAGAGAAAATACAGAACACCTGTCAGCTCATCTGAAGCTCTACTGTCGATAACCAGCTCAGTTTTGTGCTACTGAAGGATAAAGGCATTGGCTTTGGATGCATGAATAGTTACATAAAAAATCGAGAAGAAGGGGATTCACAATTTGCATTTGGAATTACATTGTAATAAATAACATGAAACCAGCACTGTACATGGATACAATTAAAGTGGACTTAAACCCAAAATTAAAAAATTAATATGCTGTATTTGGCTTTTTCCCTCTATTTTCACCCGGTGATTTTGCCTCCTCTAGAGGAATGAGCACCAACGTTGTCAGTCTGGAGGGAGGGGAGTGTTCTATGTACCCGCAGATTTAAATACACCAACAAATTGAAGTTGAACTCCAGCTAACATTTTATAAGCAGTTACATCAACTGTTTTTTTTTTTTTTTTTTTCCTTTTGGCATAAAGGCTTTACATAAAAGCTGATTATTGCAAGCACCCCTGTCAGTTGTAAATGGTTTGGCTTATCCTTCTAACTTGATAAATTTTCAGGACAGCCTGCTCTTTTAAAAAAAAAACAGACATACTGGCTAGATCACCAGGTAAAAATAGAAGAAAGAAAGCCTAAAAAAGAAAACGAATGCAGTCATCACATCTAAGAACTGGAAAGCAACAATATAATAAATATCTGCTTTTGGGTTTAATACCTCTTTAACTAGATAACATGTCAAATTCTTAGGCAACATATTGTAGTTGTGTGTCAGTTAATAACATGTAGTATTATGCAGCAATGCAAAAATAAAACAGTTTAACTAAAGCACCCCACAGGAGAAAAATAGGAACACAAAATACCAAAAATTTACTTAATGTTATGGAAATGAGTGGAAAAAAAATGTTAGCATTGCTTTAATAAAAGCCATAAAATTTGCAGTGATCATGCTGCTAGAGGTGGTAAACTCTTCTAGGAAAGTTTTCATAAAGCTCTTTCACCAGGTTTTAACTAAATGTAGGTTACCAATGGATGTGTTTGATCAGCTGCCCTGGAGGGAAGGAGAGACATCAGGGATATAACAGACCCCTGATGACGCCATAAAGAGTACCTGTCACTGCCCAAAGATATAACAAGGGCGGCTTGTTCAACCCTTGTGATAGCAATAAAGTTAAATGAAAAAAGTGTAAAAAGAAATTAAAGTACCCCCCCTCCATGCTCACACACAAATGCACATGTAGGTCCAGCACGCATAGGTGTACGGTGATTGTACCACACATGTGAGGTATAGCTAGGAATGTCAGAGCGAGAGCAAGAACTCTAGCACCATAGCTCACGTTTCACTCTAAACTGATAACCTGTAATGGCTTTTAAAGTATTGCCTATGGACACTTTTAGGTACTGCAGTTTCACAGGTGTGCACAATTTTAAATATTGACATGTTTGGTATTCATTTACACCATATTTTTCTTTTACCAAAATATATGGGTATTATATTTTGTTTGTGTGCACTAAAATAAATTTACGTATTTCTTCCTGAAATTTGAGTTAGATAAACTGCTGCGCAAATAATGTGTGACATAAAAAAATAATTGCAACAGCTACCATTTTATTCTCCAGGGCCTCTGGTTTCAGAAAAATATAAAATATGTGGGAGTTCTAAGTAATTTTCTACCAAAAAAATGCACATTTTAACATGTATGTGAAAATTTTTTAAAAGTAGTCAACATAGTTAAATGTCTCCTAGCAGGTTTCCTAACTAGGTTTTGTACTGAAATTACATTAGTAAACATCCCTCCCTTGAGAGCCAACAGCTAATGCTTTCAGCAG